TAATTTTCATTGACTTCACATAACACTCCATTTATGGCCCAAGTATTCACAAACATTGGTAAACACCCTACAAGTTTGTAATATGCATATTCTATCCTGAGTCTTGATGCAACTAAACCCAAGAACATGAACAAGGGATCTAATGTATCTTTACCACGCATCTTGTTTTTCCTTGTTTTCCAGATAGCGAGTTTAGCAGTTCCAAACATAAAATTTAATAAAACCAACATTTTTTTTTGACTAACTGAATATTTTGGCCCCAGAATAAACAATTGATAGGAAAAAACCTTCACCTAAAAGTGATACCCAACGTGATAAGAGAGAAAACAAATTACCCAAATGTTCACATTGCACAAATAGATGAAAAATGGTTTCATTTTCAGTGCAAAAAAGACAACCCACCCCTACATTTGGATTGAGATGCACCACATGTCTGTTCGTGGCTACCGCACCATGTACAATCCTCCACTGTAAGTCACCAGTCCGTTTATCGATTGGACGTTTGTAAAGTGACCGCCAGCTACCTTTAGGGGAGATGTCCATTCCAAAAAAACCAGTCCATTTAGATGACATTACTCCAGATAGAAGATGTGCATTGGTCACTTTCACACAAGTCACATACAGAGCCTTTTTACTAACAGACTCAAAACTATCCAACTGATGGGGTTTTAAAGGACAATATACGATTTTCCTCCTCATTGCATTCTCTTGAGTCAGCAGTTATCATCAAGGACGGAAAATCATATTCACACCCATCAACAGAAACATATATTAGCCAAACCCTTTTTGTTTTATGCGTTATTTATAGCAAACCATATTACAGATAAGTTGTCAGAATTTAATTTGAACCACGGTCCTTGCGCGTTCCGAACCGTGTGTGAAGAACCGTACGGTTCAATTTTTTTCCACAAACCGTTCCACCCCTAACACACACACACACACACACACACACACTAAAATAGCATTGATCACAACAGTATAATGTACAGTAAATGAATATTAATTTTAAATTGATTACATTTTTAACAGTGTTCTTAAATTATAGGTGTTTTTAAAGATGAAGTGAACATTGTGTGAGGTTTTTATGCGTTTAGCTGCAGGTGCACATGAAAGACATGATAATGTACTGTTGGGAAAAGTGTTACTTTGTGAAAGGCTATACACAGAAGAAATTGGTACACGTGTGTACACTGAATTTCTCTCTAAGACTAATACATGTTGGCTGTTTGACAGACAAAACGTGGAAGCAAACTGGAAGCAGACACACAGTTCTGTTCTTTTGATATAGTTTACTTGCTACTAAGAGACTAGCACTAAATATCTTTTAAAGATTTCAATAACCTGGCAAAGTTTTTGGTAAAAATCCAGTGAATTTATCCTCATCCTGTAGCAGCCCTTTAACTTGCCTATAATGCATATGAACTGCTTTCTCAGCACGGCTCCCAGCAGACCCAGTTATCAAATGCAGAATGGTTTATGGTTATCTGAGACTGTTTGACTTTATATAAAGCAATAGCACTCACTCTGTATACTCTTGTTGTTTAAGTAGGAAGAAATCTAAATTAACCTGAGTGAGTAGTCTGTGCCAAATCATGATCTAATAATGATCTGATTCCAAGCTCTTGTTTGTTTCATATGGACTGGGGTTTTAAGTTTCCCACTGCAATAAAGATGCAAATAAATAACAATTATTTGAACAGATTGATGTAGTTCATTTAAGATGGTTAATAATGTTCCAATTAAGAATTAAGGCGACTTTATATTGAAAGTTGCTTCTCTATGTGTTCTGTGAGGTGTTTTGGTCATAACACAATCTCAGTATTAATTGAATAATTAATCTCAGAATAATTGTCGATTATTCTTTTGAAATTGTAATTGCGATTTATTAATTTACGATTAAATGAATGAGGTTTACACCTTTGTTTGAAGCAACTGCATGCTATATTTTTATATGAAAATAAACAAGCTGAAAACACTAACTGAATAACTTGTATTGCTTTTCTATGGTATTAAACCTCAAATGTCAACTATACATCGGATTGATTTCTCTTGAAATAAAAAAGTTAAATTATGCATGGTATTATAATGTTATACTAAATCTAAAATTAAAACAATGGGAAAACCCTTAAGATAACATGTAGAAAGAAAAAAAGCATCTTAAGCATGCAGAATAACATAAGTGGACTTTGAACGATTAATTGCTGCTTTGAACAATTATGTAATTGTGGCATACGTAATTGTAATTGCGATTAGAAATTTGATTAATTGTGCAGCCCTACTACATACTCTCACAACCATGTAGGCTGTGCACTTGTGACCACTGTAAAAGTGAAGCCTTGAGACAAATGGTTTGCATTAGTCTAGGAGAAGAATAAATCAGCCCTTCTTTCTCAGCACTGGGGAACAAAGATGACGCAGCTCCATTGTTTATCTGCTGTAAGACCTCCTAGCAAGGGAACAAATGTCTCGCTTCCCCCTCCAGCTTCTTTCTCTCCTTCTGACATCTGCAGGCCTTTCCAAAAATTTAATGGGGGATGTAGTTGGATAAAGTCAGTGGATGCTGTTCGTCTGACAGAAACACTGGAGATGTTGACTTTGTTGATGCTGATCATTGTATGGTGGCTGCATGTTCACAAGATCTCCTGCTTTCTTATGTTGGAGGAGATCTGGGAAACTTTGGCATCTTTATCTTGAAATCAGAGTAGGTTTGTTTTTGTTGGGAAATGTTCAAACAATTAAGCAAATGCCTATGCTGTTCTAACCACAGGTTTGAGCGGTTTATCTAGTATGCATTCTCCTTTTAAACACGGAGTTTGCTGCTTTCACTAGCACTTCGGAAGAAAAGCTAAGGAGGCCTCCCAGAAAAAGTGCAGAGATGCAACGAGCGAAGGGTTTGCCCTCAGAGAACGGGAACGCTGGCTCTTGGAATTGTTGTAAACCTGCCAAACATCAGAAGGGTTTATTTTCGCTCCGTGTTAATAAAAACTGATGTTGAAACTCGATCCCCCCTCTGGTGGGTGAAAGAAGGGAAGTGGCTTATTGTCAAGAGCTACGGCCTGCAATTTATGACGACCTACATAAGGAGTTGCCATGAATGCTGCCTGTTCAGTTTCATGGTACACGTTTGGAGTGACCACAATAATCTGGCACATCTGACTTGATGAAGTAAACAAGGCTATTATTAGTCTTTCTCATTTTCCCTCGACCATTCAACTTGCAGCAGAGACTAGGCATGAAATAGAAATGCACAGTAATTTTTCATACATGGGTCATTGAAAAGTGTATAGATGGGCTCATTGATTAAGAGTGTAATATAAGCCTCCCTGTACTGACGATGGATTCTGTATAAGTTAAGGTGCTGTTTTCCATCTAAACTCTCAGTGAGGAATGATGTGAGATCTGCTTTTGATTTAGGGACACTGATCGAAAAGCATGTGTTTTCCCCCCTCCCTTTGATTTGTGGAGTTGGATCAAGACTAAAAAATAAAAGGCTGTCAAAATGACTGAAAAACTAAATTCGAATTTTCTCCTTAAATATGATCAAAATTCGAATTATATTCGAATTTAAAAGGCATAATTTCAGTCAGGGGGAAAAAGCTTTTGGCTTCTCTCCTGAGGCCACAAGAGGGCGCATTGAGCAAAATATTATGCACGTTTCTTCAAAGCGTAATAAAATAACGCGACTATCTTTGAAAAAAAGTGCATAATGTTTAAAATAATGTTTATAAACCATATATAATTAATAAAGTTGCTTAAACAATTAGAAAAAAAAACAGCAGCATGCATGTATGTATGTATGTATGTATGTATAGTTTAATACAAAGAACCTAAAACCAGTCACAAAGAGTAGGCTACTTGCTTCATTTAAAAACATGAGATACAGTGGGATGGGGAAAAACCGCCATGTTTTTTAAAGGTTGAACTTGCATTAATTTTACATGGCTTTCTAAACATGCCACTCTCTTGTGCGAGACGCGAGTGCAACAGTGATAGATGTCCCTCTAGAAAATGGGATAAATATGCGTTCTGTGTGAACGGCTTGGTTTCAGTTTTGACGTAAACAACATCTTCTCCACACTGATGTTCTCGATTTCCGCAATATATGAATGAACAACGTAGCAGCGCTGCATCTAGTGGGTTCAGCTGGATAGGCTAACAAAAGCATTAAAATGCAATCAATGACACATACATCGTCATCGCATCTCGTGCGCCACTGATAAGGCTGCCTGACGGCTGACGCAGACCTTAAATTCGAATGCAACGTTTTTGCATTTGAATGTGGATTTTTTTTAATTCGACGAATATTCGAAAATCAAATTTGTTTTTGACAGCCCTAGGGTCTATTAGTGAAAATATTATTTATTTATTTAACTAAATTAAGTAAATATATTATTTATTTTTTACAAATTATATTATTAGTGCTGGGATGATATGCAGGAAATTGGAAGCAAGAAATTTGATTAGTGGCCTCAAATAGTGCAGAATATTTAGATCAATTTAATTATGAATTGCTGGAAATACTTATTCAATTTGTGTTATAAAGTTTCAGAATTTATTTAATTTCATTTAATAAGTAAACAACGTGTGGGTGTGTGTGTATAAATATAATCTCTCTCAAAATCTCTCACTGAATAACTGAGATCCCACAAATTCTTCCAGTTGGAAGAACAAAAGTTCGGCTCAGGTAATTCAGAGCTCATAAATCATTGGTGCTGGACAGTCCAAACTCTTGCTCCGTTTTCTCTCAATTCAGGACTGGGGAGGGATAGCCAGCCACTAAGCTGTGTGTGTGTGTGTGTGTGTGTGTGTGTGTGTGTGTTTGCGTGCATGCGTGTGTGCACGTGCTTTGTCAGGCAGATTGGCTTCCTGCTTTCGTTCTCTTTCCTTTTTCCTCTGGCCATCTCTTTTCACTGAGTTCTCTGGAGTTGGAGAGGGGTGTGATGAGTTAGTGTCACATGACACTATGTAGGTGGAGTCAGAGAGAAGCCCAGAGACTCCAGCTGAGGCTCACACTGGAGGTTTGAGGCTGAGCGGGGAAGAGCAGAGGGTAGGTCAAAACACTTTCACTCTATCTTCCTCCCTTTTTTTCTTTTCTTTTCTCGCTATCTCCCATTCTGTTTGTGTATTGCTGCCTCTTGCTTCTTTACAAACATTGACTAACATTGTAGAAAAGTTTACTTAAAAGCAAGTTGGACTTTTGTGTGTGTATATGTTGGAGTATCTTTAAATACATGTCTGTATAAGTATGATTTTTCCATGTTCACGCCTGAAACTCGGCCTGTTTTCCATGTTAGAGCTTCACGGATGTTTAAGCTGGAAAGTTCTGAGCAGGGAAGATTTAAGTCTCTTTAAGCATCTGTGAGTTTGCAGAGGGGGCGTGCTTGCCTGTTCTGCGCTCCTTTTTCATCCTTTACTCCCTGTCTGCACCTTCTGTCTTGGCCTTGTAATTAAAAGTGTGTAGGTTACAGTGCTGAATGAGACCCAGACACTCTAGCCCTGTGTAATTTCACCTCCACACCGCCTAATTTTTGCAATAGTTTTTTTGTAGGTAGAAATTTTGGAGTTTTATTTCACCCCAGAATAAAACATTATAATTATTTTGCTTAAAGGAAGAGATGCCTTTTTTTAGCACTATTATGATTTTTTGCATTGTGTTTATGATTAATTGTATTTGGGTGTCATAGTAATATTTTTATTTATGCTGATTTAAATGTAAAAAACGATCTGTAATTAAAAATGTATATATATTATTTAATCTTTTTTACAATTCCAGTTTCGCAAGAAAGTAATTAGAAATTGGGTAAAAAAATTGCTTAATTGACGCAAAGAAATATGTAATATCTCAAAGCAAAAAACTTAATCCTAAAAATAGGCTTAAGTTTCAAAAAAAATATTATACTGAATTTACTGCAGTGACTTTCTCAACATGACACATATCATTTATATGTCTGCCCACATCCTGCAGGGGATCAGGAAGAAATCCACACACTCTCTTCCTCTCTATGCTGGTCATGTCCATGTCATTATCCGTTTGTTTGTGTGTGAAAAAAAAAACCCTGTGTTTTTCTCATCTGTTTCCTTCAGCCCATTTCAGTTGCTACCAGTGACGCATTCACAGACTTGCCACCATTCTTCGAAGTGTTAAAAATAATGGAAGAGCTGTCTAGAGTAACAGCAAAGTCAACGTTTGATTCTGTTGTCAACAGGTTTGACATAGAGCCATAGCTTGATATGAAATGAAGTCACTAAAGCTAAAAATAAAGTTTAGGGCAAGAATCAATAGCACACTCTGTATGTCTCATTGTAGGTGGTCATTTGGAGCATGTCAAAGACTATTAGATGTATTGAAAGCCAGGATGTTCACTGCTAACAAAGTGAAACCACTGTTTCCTACGGCACATTTCATTCCTCCTGTGGGAGAATATCCTCATTTTGATGAGTCATTCAAACTCCTCACTGCCCTTTCTCTATTTATACAGTCAACATATTCATACTCTCCCAAAACCCAAAGCAGCAGACCTCTGAGGGTTTCAGCCCACTTCCACTGAAAACTCCACAGGACTTTTAGAAGGATGCTTGTGGGATGAAAATGTTTTCCATAATTGGCTTTGTTGGGAATATTCATGTTTTCCTGTATATGTCTGCTAGCACTGAACCCTTTTTAGCACTAAACCCTTTGGCAGTAATGGAGTGTGGTCCATAAAACTTTTAATATATTTACGGTAGGAAATTTACAAAATATCTTCATGGAACATGATCTTTACTTAATATCCTAATGATTTTTGGCATAAAAGAATAATCAATAATTTTGACCCATACAATGTATTTTTGGCTATTGCTACAAATATACCCCAGCAACTTAAAGGGATCCCTGGGTATTAAGACTTGTATGGCTTAATATAACGTAAATAATGTCTCTTCCTGAAATATGTAGTAGAAGACCCATTAAAGATGTATGTTATTTAAAAAATCACATAGTTTTATACATATTTTGGACTACGGGGGGCGCCATTATTCTGATGACGTAAAATGGTTGCACTCGGTGAGCTACTGGCGCTACCTGTTGCTAATTTTACCACAACCCAACTCGGAATAGACAACTCGGAAAATAAAATACTGTTATGATGACCACAGCTACTGAAAGAGCTTACAGGTGGAGATGGATAAGCATAGGCTTTAACCAAATGCTGTACCCTCGATTTTTCCCCACATGGAGTCTAAACGCCCCGGATCTCGAGGAAAATCTGCGCTGAGAAATTCCTCTAGCGGCCGCGCGTCATGATTAGCGTCGGCATGTTTACAGGATGACATAGCGTTTCTCAGCCGTTTGTAAGCTCTTTCAGTAGCTCTGGTCTACTAAAAGACTCAAAGGCATCAGGACTAAAGTGGAGTGAAAAAAGAAGCAGGTCTTTAGGAAGTTTTATTCGTCCACAGGCATCTTCTCATTCTTTTCTCCTCTTCTTGTGAAGTCTTGCATTGCTTCTCTTGTTGCCCTTCGACTGAAAATTACAACCAAAAGTCACACAATGTGATATCGTATCAGTATTTTATCTTCTGAGTTGTGTATTCTGAGTTGTGTTGCGGTAAAAAGCCAAAGACTATAGAAATAAGCGCCAGTAGCTCACCGAGTGCAACCATTTGACGGCATCGATGCAGAATGTACTGTGCACATAAAATAATGGCGCCCCCCATAGTCCAAAAACCATGTCAGTTTTTTTAAATAACATACATCTTTCATGGGGTTTCTACTATATATTTAAATAAGGGACATAATTTACGTTATATTAAGCTATACATGTCTTAATACCCGGGGATCCCTTTAAGACTGGTTTTGTGCTCCAGGGTCACATATACGAGGCACTGCTAGCTGTCTACCATCACACCTGTATAACCAGTACTTATTTGCAATGCAAAGTAGTGCGGAATGTCTAGATTTAACGGATGATTAGAAATGAAATTCATGCCTCCAGCTGCAATTAATTCTTTCTTTCAGTGGACTCTTTCAATGGTCATTCTTGTTCCTGTGAACAACTGAATCCTGTTTACCATCATTATGAGTGTGAATTATTCAAGTAGCTTTTGAGAGAAACATTAAATGTCACCTTAGAGTATTTAAGCACAAGTAAACATATATATATATATTTTAATCAACAGTAGCTTGCTTTTCTGGTCTGTTCACATTTAAGTATTGCCTGACAGTTTCACTGTATATGATCACATTGGTCATGAGACCCATTTCAAGGATCAACAACTCAAGTCAAGATGGTTTCTGAGCATATTTGGACAATCATATGACTGAGCTATGTGAATGTGTTCATTTATCTCAATACAGATAGCTTGCAGGAATCTCCATTTGAGCCTGTTTCTGAAGAACTAATATTGAACGTAAAATGCCTTTTTGCAACAGGAATTGATGTTTGCCTGAAGCATGCTGAGGAAAAGTGCCCAAAATTGCTTGCATTCTGTCTCTCATGTGATCTTCACTCATCTTCCATATTGTAGAAGTGATGTCACCGTGCTGTATCAGCTTTGCTGTGATTCCCAGATGTTGTGGTTCTTCTGGTTGTCGTCAACGCCTTGAGGTCAGATCCATGATCCATCTTTTAAAGGTCATTCCGGTCGTCCCAAAGATACACTTGAACCTCTCAAGACTACTGTTGGATTATCTGTTAAGAATGCCAGGGACAGATTTCCAAAAGCCTTATCGCTCCAGCTATGCTGCACAGGTGGCTCATAACTAGTTAGCCAGAGGAACGAATTGCGGATGACTTCATTTTGACTAAAAGCTTGCTGGCAGAACATTTCCTCTTTGCGCATTTAATGTTTTGGCAGACAGGAATGTTAATACGCAGTGCGTCCTATAACAACAGGAGTTGGTGAGCTTGTTAGCCAAGTCACATACCGTTTTGGCAAGTTTCCTGTTCCATATTGTTTTTGACACCATCTTTATCACTTACACTTCTGCTGTCCTTTGCCAGTTTGGGTGTACGATATCCCTCACTTCTATACTTTTTTTTTTTTCCATTGTGCGCATTACATCATCTGCTTTTACAACCCCGAGCATCAGAGGTCACCCTCTCTCTGGCTCATCGCAGAACGAGCGGTCATCACTTCTACACAAACACTATGGGTCTAACACTGTGTTTGTGTAGAGTTAACATCAATTTCCCTTCTACATTGAACTGCTCTCTGCAGGAGGCCACAGTTTGCTTATTCCCTCTCTCCTTTTGTCTCTCTCTCGTTCTGCAACATTCTAACTGGCTGGATCTTGCCTCTGTGTGTCTTTTGTAGTTTTCCAGAGCTTAATCATTATCTTTCATATAATTGTATGCATCTTGTTGTATATGTTTTTTTTTCTGGAATCGTTTACTTCTGAGAAGTAAAGGTTTTCGTAAAGGAATGGCTCCCTTGAGTAATGTTGCCTTTAAATGGTCATGGTACCGTTTGACAAAAGTATAGTCTAGAAGACAAGATATATGAATCTTCCCTTTTTTTCTTGAAATCATGTTGGGGAATGTGTAAGGAGAAGAAAAGACCTATTGAAAGAGTTTGTGACCATTTTTCCAGAGCTCACAGGAAATGTCTTATCAGCTGAAGTTAAGTTATATGTTTTACATGCATGCGTTTGTACAGCTCACGTTTGTCTGGTCATCTGGGGTTCCCCTCCGGGAATGGAGCGATAATGTTAAAGCGGCTGCTTGATTCTGACAAATCATACAGGGGCTTCATTTAAGGCTACAAATACTGGAGATGCACCATGTATTTGCATTATATTGGTTATCACCATATTAGATATTTTGATTAAATAGTTTAGATATTTTTAATTAATCTGTATGGCTCAATATTGGATATACACTACCGTTCAAAAGTTTGGGATCAAAAAGTTTTTTTTTTTTAAAGAAGTTTCTTATGCTCACCAAGGCTGCATTTATTTGATTAAAACATTATTACAATTTAAAATAACTATTTTAAAATACATTTGAAATAAAAATATTTTTTAACATTATGAATGTCTTTTACTGACACTTTTGATAAATTTAATGCATT